TAACCACAACCACAACTACAGAAGCTAACGGTTCCCCAACAGACATGCCATTTGATGACTGTGAAGAAGAGGGTGCCTTTCCCTACCCGAACGACAGACACAAGTTTGTTGTCTGTAAAAGATTTAGTAATGGGACCAAAGGGGGCTGGGAGTTGGATATTAGAGAGTGTTATACCGGTCATTGGAATGATACAGTGAAAGACTGTATGGAGGACTTACCTAAGAGCACAACTCCTTTACCACCGATTGTCCCCAAACGTGACCACAACGACTACACTAAGAACCCGCACCCCATTGTCTGTCACTTCAACAGTTGGTCTCACTATCACAGAGTAGATCCCTTTAATGTCGAGAACATTGACTATGACTTATGCACTCATATTAACTATGGTTTCGCCAAACTTAATGAAACCACTTATGAAATACAAATGTTTGATGACTGGCTGGACGAACACCTTGGTAAGTAATGTGAATACAAAAATTGTAAACTAAAATATGTCTTTAAATACTAGAAAATTATGAGAGGTTTGTGAACCTAAGGAAGAAGAACCCAAACCTAACGACAATGATATCAATCGGCGGTTGGAATGAGGGCTCAGAGAAGTACTCAAATATGGTCACCAATACTGAGATGAGACACAAGTTTGTCGAAAGTGTTATTATATTTTTATATAAATATGGTTTTGATGGCATAAACCTGGACTGGCAATACCCGGGTAATAGAGGTGGTTCGGCTACTGACAAAGAAAATTATATTAAACTATTGGAAGAATTTTACGAAGTGTTTGGGACCACCGGACATCTCTTAACGGTTTCCATTTCTCCTGAAAAACATATCATTGATTCAGCATATGATATGCCATTACTTGATAGTCTAGTGGATTGGGTCAATATAATGACCTACGATTACCACCGGTTTGATGGGTACTTGGGACACAACGCACCCATATATAACAGACCCGATGAGACCGAGGAGTTGTCTGAAGAATTGAATATAGATTATATGACTTCCTCTGTTAACTATACTATCAATTATTACTTACAACTGGGCCTTAGGAAGGATAAGATGGTGATGGGAGTGCCGTTTTATGGCAGGGCCTGGACTATATTAA